CTTTGAGTTCAAATCCATCTAGTACAAGTGCAAGTTGTGAAGCTTCTTCTATTATATTTCCTTAATTTTCTGTTACTTAACCTAACTTAACTCCAAATGAGTGCGATCAATCTTTTTTATCCAGTGACTGATACAGAGACGAGTCAACAAGAATATTTTCTTGTAAACTGTCTTTTTGGTACTACAGCTAATGAATTTGTTATGTCTAATGATTTCTGGTTCTGTTCTGTATAGCAGAGCCTGATTAAGACCAACAAAACCATCTTAACTACCATGAGTACACACCAAGGTCCCTGGACATTTGCTTGAATGTGAAAAGAAACGTAAATGAAGATTAGTTGTACAGAATGGAAAACTGTTTAGCCAACGATGAGGCAAAGGTTTTCTACTATATGTCGCCATTCATAAAACAAAAACAAAAATGTTAAAAATGTCATTCAGTCTCAATTAAATCTGCTGGTAAGAGTAACTTAAAGAGTACTAAAACTTCAATAACGAACGTTAAGACTGAAAACTTTTCTTATTCCTCTTCTGTGCATTAAATTCCTCCAGTCTTACCATTACAAAAAACCTTAAGCGTACTCCCTGAGTCCCAGCTCTACAGACCCAGAAGAAATGCAGAAACTCTGATGTGATTGTAACGATGAGGAGTAAACGTGTCTACTATTCAGAATGAAATTACTGACTAACGTCACCTTTGCTTCGCCTGTGAAGCCTATATTTTGATTTACTTTAGTATTTGTCAGGTGTTCACAAAGGAGAACATAATTTACTGAGGGAAAATTGTGTCCATGTCACAGAGCACAGGTCGAGACAGCGTTAAATATTGTCAGGGCGGATAATTGTGCCATACAGCAGATTAGCTCCTCTCTCTCTCTCTCTGTGCCTCATACCAGAGGGCTGAAGAGTTTGGACGCGAAACTGCACTGAAGTTTGATCTGTTCAGATCGAGAATGTTCACATGTGCGTTGGTTACGAAGAACGTTATCTAGGATGAAGTGAATGAATATCCTGGTGTGTGACTGTGGCCCTTAACACGAATTTCTGTGTGGCCCTCACATGGACACAGCAGTGCTTAAGAGACCTGGTGGTTATCAACATTTCAGAGAAATATACCAGCACCATCTTCTGGACAGAGATGTAATGTTCATAACCACCTAGAGGACCATGACGGGGACATGC